CGGTTCTGCTGTCACACAGCACCTGCCACCGGCCCCCGTGGAACACCTCGATGTCCCCCTCGCACAGCGTGGGGCCCGCGGCCAACCTGTGCAGGGCTCGGTTCTGCTGTCACACAGCACCTGCCACCGGCCCCCGTGGAACACCTCGATGTCCCCCTCGCACAGCGTGGGGCCCGCGGCCAACCTGTGCAGGGCTCGCGGCTGGGAACCTGCGGGATACAGCCGGGGGTGGGATACACGGGGAGGGGTGAGAGCCGTGGGGAGGGGTCGGAGCCTCGGGGAGAGGAGTCAGAGTTATGGGAAGGAGAGGTCAGAGCCAGGGGAGGAGTGAGATCCATAGGAAGAGAGGTGAGGTCCATAGGGAGAGGGGCGAGAGCCAAGGGGAGAGGGGTCAGAGTCATGGGAAGGCAGAATCAGATCCATAGGAAGAGGGATCAGAGCTACAGAGAGGAATCAGATAGATGGAGGGAGGGGTTAGATCCATGGAGAGGGGTCAGACCCACAGAGAGGGATTAGGTGGATAGATGGAAGGGTCAGAACCATTGGGAAGGGGTTCAGATCCATGGCAAGAGGGATCAGAGCCACAGAGAGGGATCAGATGGATGGAGAGAGAAGTTGGATCCATGGAGAGCGGTTGGACCCACAAGGAAGGGAGTCAGACCCACAGGGAGGGGTCAGATCCATGGGAAAGGGGAGGGTCAGATCTGTGGAGAGGGGTTGGACCTACAAGGAGGAGTGGAGGAGTGTCAAACCCACAGGGAACAGTCAGCTCCATGCAAAGGAGTTAGACCATGAAGAGGAGTCGGATTCATGGGAAGAGGGAGGTCAGACTGACAGGGAGGGTTCAGATCCATGGGGAAAGGAGGGGGATCAGATCCATCTATAGAGGGGTCAGACTCACAACAAGAAGGGTCAGATCCATGGGGAGGGGTCAGATCCGTGGAGAGATGTCAGATCCAGGGGGAGAGAGAGGTCAGACCCATGGAGAGATTCCATGGCTGGCTGACAGGGCTCAGCATTCCACTGACACATTGTCCTGCTTCCCTGGCACCAGCTCCTGGCACAGGGATGCTCTCAGCACAGGGATGCTCCCAACATCTCCCCTCATGCTTCAGGGACTGGGGGATGTAAGCCAAGCCAGAGCCAAACATTGAGAAGCTTTGAACTATTCCCATGGGAAATACAGCATGGAAGCTGGCTCTGCCAGCTGCTGCCTGTTAAATTCCCAAATCCCGTGGGATGGCTTCTAGGCTGGGGCAGATGGCAGGACCTGGAGTGAGTCTGATTCAAGCCTTGTGGTTTGGCTTTCTGTGCTGTGGCACTGGCACCAAGCTCATCTCCAGGGAGATGCTTGTGGGAAAGGGCAGGGAGATGCCCTTGGCTGGGAGATAGATGCCTGTGGCAGGGAAGGTGGTCAAGGAAGGGCAGGGAAATATCCTGGAGAGATGCTTGTGGCTTGGAAGAAGCTCAGAGCAGGTAGGTGCCCATGGCCTGGGGATGCTTGTGGCAGGGGAGATCCTCAGGGAGATGCCCATGGCAGGGAGATGCTTGAGGCGTGGAAGGTGCTAAGGAACCTGCCCAAGGCAGGGAAGTGCCAGAGGCATGGAAGGTGCTCAGAGCAGGGAGATGCTCACAGCAAGGAGATGCCCAAGGCATGGGAGGTACTCAGGGCAGGGAGATGCCCATGGCAGGGAAGATTCTCTGTGAGATGCCTATGACAGGGAGATGCCCACAGCAAGCACCCAAGGTGTGTCCCAGCAGGATGCTGGCCTCTTCCTGGATTCCCCCATGGCCCTGTGGGATGGTGGGACATTGCCATGGCTGCTGTCCCTCCCCAGCTCTTCCTCTCACAGTGTCACTGCCTTCACCTCACTGTCAGGAACTGAGATTTCCTGTTTTGCCCTCACACAGCGAAGAGGAGGAGCAGGAGGGGGTGGCAGGGATGGGGCTGCTGCCCTGCAATTCCCAGGGCATCCCACTGGAATGTGCTCCTGAGGGAGATCCGGGGAAGGCATGTGTGCTCTCACCTGAGCAGGTGATGAATGCAGGTGCTCTCCCCCTCCGGACGCTGCTCCTGTTGAAGCATTCTAGGAGGGAATTGCTCTCACAGGGATCCACCACCTCCCACCGCACTGGCAAGTGGACTCCCAGCTGTGGCAAGCTGTGGTTGTGAATGGCAGTGCCACAGCTCAGAGCCTGGCAGATGCGGGTGGCCAGACGTGGCCAGATGTGTGATTCATTGGCCACAGCTCCCCACAGCCCTTCCTTGTGCAGCTCCACAAAGCCAGAGCAGATGAAACTCCCATCCACCAGCCGCAGCCTGGGCGGACCTGGAGAGGGATTAGAGGAAGAGCAGCTTGTTAGGGACTGGGAAAACATTTCTTTCCATCACTGAGCAGAAATACCCCAAATCTGAAGCTCAGTCACCACATTGATCCCTCGGGATTGGGATCTTACCGGTGGG